TGAGTATAACCTTTAGCCACCAAGCGGGCCTTAAGACGGTCCACCTGACCATCCGGACCAACTTTAATCGTGTATATCCATCGACAGCCAACAACAGACTTCCCAGAGGGAAGGGGAACCAGATCCCAGGTACCACTACTCTGAAGTGCACTCATCTCATCAATCATGGTCTGTCGCCAACCAGAATGTGATAACGCCTCACCTGTAGTCTTAGGAACAGATACAGAAGAAAGAGAAGAGAGGCAAGCAAAATAGGATGGTGAAAGACGATGATAACTCAAATTTATTAAATACCTGGGAGGGGGACGAGAATCATGAGTACCTTTCCGGAGTGCAATGGGCACATCAATGTCAGACGGAAGGATCGGAGATGCCGGAGGAGATGATGACGGAAGTGAGTCCACAGGAGCCTCAGTAACAATAGGGGCAGACTCGGGGGGGGGTCGGGTCCTGGGGAACAGGGGGACGTTGCCGACGATGATAGACCTGGAGGGGGGGAACAGGGACGGGAACATCTAAAAAAGGAGATGGTGAAGGTATATAGTGAACTGAAACAGGTGGTAAAGGTAGCTGAGGAGCAACAGAATCACTGGGATGGGAGGAGGAGTCAAAGAATGGAATAGACTCAAAGAATGTAACATCCGCCGAGACAAAGTAACGACGAAGACTAGGAGAATAACAACGATAACTCTGAGCGAGGGTAACCCAGGAAAATACATTTATGTGACTTAGCAGATAACTTGTCAAGACCAGGACTGAGATTGTAGACAAAACAAGTAGAACCAAAGATGTGAGGAGTGAGTGGGTACAAAGGTTGATGGGGAAACAACACAGAATGTGGTACCTGATTATGAAGTACGGAGGAAGGCACCCGATTAATGAGGTAACAAGTTGTGAGGACAGCATCGCCCCAATACTGGAATGGGATATGACCATGTAACAAAAGTGTCCAAGTAGTCTCAATTAGGTGACGGTTCTTGCGTTCAGCAACCCCATTCTGTTGAGGGGTGTGTGAACATGATGTCTGGTGAAGGATGTCGTGAGATGCAAAGAAGGTTTGAAACTGATGAGACAAATATTCACGAGCATTGTCACTTCGAAAAATGCGAATCGAAACACCAAATTGAGTAAGGATTTCATTAAAGAACTTGTTAAAAATAGAAAACAATTCAGACCGATTTTTCATTAAAAATAACCAAGTACATCGAGAATAATCATCAATGAAAGTTACAAAATATCTGTACCCCATAGTGGAAACGGTACGACTAGGACCCCAAATATCTGAATGAACTAAAGCAAAAGGAGACGAAGACCGACGACTGACACGATCGGGAAACGAACTACGAGTGTGCTTCCCTAACTGACACGACTCACAAGACAAACTAGATAAATTTGAGAAACGTGGGACCATCTTCTGGAGCTTAGCAAGATTGGGATGACCCAACTGAGCGTGTATAGTAAGCGGAGAATCCACAACAGAGCACACTGGAACAGAAGTTGAAAGCTGATAAAGGCCATTGGACTCAGATCCGACGCCAAGTGTCCTCCTCGAGCTCCGATCCTGCAAAATGACAGACTCTTTAGTGAAAGAAATAGTACAGTCAAGGGATTGAGTCAAGCGACTAATGGAAATAAGGTTGAAAGGAGAATGAGGAACATAAAGCACATTCTCAATGAGAATAGAAGGAAAAAAGAGAACAGTGCCAATCCCTTAGGACTGAACCAGTGACCCATTAGCCATAGTGATATTGGGCAAGGGACCAGACGTACAGAGAGAGGTAAATAAAGACTTATTACCAGAAATATGGTCAGATGCACCAGAATCGAGAATCCATGGACCAAGAGAGGGCGAGTGCGAAACACCAGCAAAGGAATTACCCGTGTGTGCACTAGAGGCAGTGGTACCAGGAGGTGGCTGTGATCCAGCAATCAAGGCAGAGTCCGAGGCAGGAACAGTAGTCTGAGCAAAATGAGCTGAGCGAGGAGGGCGACCATGAAGATCCCAACAACGATCAATAGTATGGCCCGACTTTTTGCAATGAGTGCAGAGAAAGCGTCTCGTAGAGGGTTTGCGTCCACGTGCAAAACCCTTGGAGACAAGGGCAGATGGGTCAATTGAAGAGGGAGCAGATACTGCAGGCTCCATAGAAGTCTTAGGTGGAATGCGAAGCAACGTAGACCAAACAGAGACAAGCGATGGAACAGTAGTAGAGCCCAAGATCTGATCCCGGTTGACAGAATATGCCGGGGGCAAACCATAAAGAGCCATGAGCATGAAGAACGTGCTGCGTTGCTCAAGTTCTTTAGCAGGATCTGCAGCAGGCGGCAACAGTTCATTGAAATCATGAAGGAGGCCCTGAACTTTTCCCAAGTAAGCAGACACAGAGACATCAAGTTGTTGAGCAGCAATAGTAGTGATCAAATTTTGACAAACCCCATAGAGTCGCTGAGTGTCATTGGTATAAAGTGACTTGGCCTGACGCCAAACAGACTCACAAGTGACGTGAGCACGAAAAATCTGCTTCAAGGACGAGTGGATGGTAGACTTGATAATGCTACATAACTGAGCATCAACCTTTTTCCAATGAGGGCGTACATCTATCGAGATGGACTCAGCCTTAGTAATGAGATGGTCAGTGTAGTCATGTCCATCAAGCCAAAGTCGGAGATCAGAAGCCCAAGAATCATAATTGGAGCCATCCAACTTGTCGACGTGCAGCGGAACATTAACATAATTAGAAAAAACAGGCGGGTCAGCCTTTTGAGAACCCTTGGATGCATCGTGGGGTGACAAATCAGCCATGGGTTACCTGAAACAAAAATGAACAGCAACGAAAAGCAAAGAAACGTCTGTGAATAGTGACCAGCAAGGGAAAAGACACCGTAGGAAGCCAAAACGAAGTCGAAACAACAAAGTGAGGACAGATCCAAGTGCGCAAGGAGAAGACGAAGGGAACCGTGGTGGTACGACGGTCAACCGGAGTAGGACGCGCCGCCACGCGCCGCTGCAACAAAACGAGTTGCAGCCGATGTTTGACGCGCGTGTAGGAGGATCTGAGGATGGGTCCTGGACAGAAAGGAGCGCCTTCTCGTGGCGATCGGATCGATATGGGTTTCACCGGAAAACTCGCCGGAGACGGCGGTCAACGGCGGTGGACAGTGGTGCCTAATGGCGGCAGTGATCAGACAGGTCCGTAGACGATATATGGAAGCCGGAAACTGACAGATATGACTGTTTCCCGAAAAAAAATATTTTACTCAGCAGAAAGTGGTCCACCGGAAAAAAAAACGCGGATTAGGATTCCTCTTGTTAGGCTCTAGATACCATGTTAATTATCAAGAGACAAGAGGTATTCATTGTAATCCTTGTTATATTGAACTACACAACATTGGTGCTATTATATAACAAACCAATTGAAGAATACAAAGAGACACACTCGATGTGGGACTTCTATACTATGTACACTCGATGTCGAACTTCTATACTATGTACAGCAACACTATCAAAAGATAACTACTACCTAAAATTCATGCTCACATGAAAATAAAACAGACAAAAAAAAATTAAAAAGTAGATCAATTAACAGAACAATACATACGGGAAATCAATTCCCTTTCTTTTGGTAGAAAAGAAGAATTTGATTTACGTCGAAAAGAAGGGGTAATGTTTATGGAATATGAGAAAAACCAAAGTGATATTCCACTCAAGGAAGCTTTTTATTTGATGTGTGATGTCAATAGTAGAATGAGTTTTGTAAGAAAAATTAGAATTTCATGAGTAAAATAAACGTACAGGTGGATTAAGGAGTATTAAGTTGTTGAGCTTTTCCTGGTGCTTGCTGGCATACTTAACTACAACTGGTGAAAAATATCCCTGTGAACAAAGAAAATATTAAAGAACTTCTTATCATTTGACAAACAAAAGATAATTCTAGATAGTAGATCCATGCTTCTTATCAACTGAGGCAAATTTACCTGGACAACAAGTGAGACTTTAGTAACAGCCAGTTCATCAATAAGTGACTCCAATGATGACACATATTCTGAAGGGAAGAAGAAAAATAACTCATTTTTTGCCACCTTTGTTATTTTTTTCTTCAAAACAAGAATCCCCAATAAACAATAAGTTACTACTTAGGATTGCTAGAACCACTCAAGCAATTACCATCCAGTGTGTAGTCAAACCCATATCTGGGTTGAGGCTTATCAGAAAACCCAAATCCTGAAAGAGGAGAATAAGTAGAGTGAACTTTTCTGTTTCTACAATGATGAATTAATACATTAATGGAATGCAAGTAATAAATTTTCAAAAAGAAATAAGTGAATCATGAAGCCATCTCATGGATAACTTTTTAAACAAAAATTTGTAAATGATACCAGTCATTACACACAAATTGAAGCACCGCTCTATTATTTTAGAGAAAAATGAAAGGCCAATCATCATGAAAATTATAATATAGCCCACTTGAATGAAAAAAGAGTACTAAACTGAACTTCGCCCTCAATAGTTATTCTGAATGAGATTGCATTAGTTGTGATGAAAAGAAAATTCTACAGGTATAATATGGTATAAAAGTTTGACACAGTGTACAAGATTAAAGGCATTTTATGAAATCCTTTCATGATGCTTCTAACGTCCATTAATTTGGTTTATATCAATCAAAAAGCCATAAAGTATGCAATGGCACGAAGCATAGTTCAGAATGTCACAACAAATAATTCCAACAAATAAAATAAAAGTAATTTTAATTACAAATCTAATAAAACATTGTTATCTTACCTAGCCAGTCAAATGCTATGGCATGATAGTCTTTGGACAGTATTGGAAGAACTTTGCGATAAGAATATGCCTGGAAGCAGCAACAATTTGCCAGAAAAATTATTGTTTCTCAATGTAACTAATATGTTTGGGACAAAACAACTCAAAATACAGTCATTAACATGTCCAACTATATGGAAGTATAGAATAAGATTTTTGGTTCAATAGTTCCTTAACACGGTACAAGCATCTCATAATAACAACATATTTCTGCAGTTCATCTATAAATTTGGCCCAAAAAGGGGAGAAATAAATGCTTAGTTCGCTGTTTTGATTAAAAGAATGCCCAACCAACATCGATCAAGCCTTATTCCACTATGTGGGGTTGGCTACATGGATTAAGAATGACTTTGGACTTTTTCAAAAACAAAATTTTCTGTAAAACCATTAAAGCAAGGTCTTTATTCATGGATTCTCCTAATGCTTTCTTAGGTCTTCCTCTACCCCTTTTTAATTGGACTTAAAATAAGTGCCCAAATTGACTGTTGTTAAAAAAGAGCAGTTGTGAGAAATTAAGTACCATGTGTACACACAGTCCATCTAATTTATGCTGAGTTCATTCAGTAGAAGAGCTAATTGAGGATAATTTACAGGGCTAATTAACAGCTATTAACTACAGTCACAACTACTAATATTCTAACATGTGCTAATCAATCTAAACTACTATGCTGGTGAATCAGATTACTATTCCAACACTTACCCTCAAGATGATGCTTACTAAGCTCTCGGCTTGTTACCAATAAACACACAAACAGAAAACAAAGAACACCAAGATCTAAACACAACTCAGAGCCTATCTCAAACAAAGAACTTGGGCAACTGGCACTTTCACTGAATAACAATACATTTTGGCTGTCTTTGGCAAATATATCCCAGAGGTCTTTGACCTTTCTCCCTAATCTTGACCTACTTCCAACTTCTGTTCGACCTACAACCAAGCTTTACCCAAAATCAATAACAACTAAGCCACAATAGACTCAAATGAGTGAGCATACTGGATAGCACACAAAACAATAATTTGTTTTACTTTTTTTTAGTTTATTAACCGGTTCATCAGAAATCCAATTAGTCTGGTTCAAGCATTGTCAGACCCTTGTAAGGTGAGGCTATTTTCTTCAATCCGAAAGTTTGAACTCGAGACCTCTGATATTAGAATGACTTTTTAATCAATAGAGAACTTAAAGGGGCTCAGCAATCAAATCCCAGATAGTAGCATACTGTTCTAGCAAAGTCATATCACTCCAGCTTCAAAAGAAAGCCATCAATCCCGTCCATAGTCACAGGTTTGAGCACAATACCTCGGTCCAATGCCAAACAGGCAATGCGCACCCATGGCAGGCCATAAACAAACAGCATTCAGAATGAACCTTGGTCACGCATCAAAACACCAAGAAAAGATCCAAAAACACCTTTAGCGGGTGAAGAATAATCAATCAACCATGAAAGTAAACAACTATGGAAAGAACTTTTCCTGGCTTAAAAACAAAGAAAAAGAAGAGGAAAAGATATAAATGGCATTCCACGGAAACTCAATACAATGGAGACAAGAGACTCAGGTTATGGAAGATGGTAACACTCTGATACCACGTTGAAATCAAGAGTATTTGAAAGAAATCACATGACATGTTTACAGATAGTCCATCTTATTTTACTATAAGTGCTTTAGTACAAGAGCTAAGGACTAATTATAAACTTAATTAAAAGGTATTTAACTCTGTCATGAACTAACTATCCCAAAAGTTTAAGATGTTATGATTTCTATAAGAATTCAAATGAAATCATTGTTGTTTGTGTTGGAAATCGACAATCACACAGAATCGAGAAAACAGAAAAAGAGATAAGAGTAGAGAGATTAGACACAGCGCGATTTACCCTGGTTCACCCAATATAGGATACGTCCAGCTTGTCTGTACTATATTTGTCTGTACAAGACAAATATAAATAGGATTACAAAACCCTAACAGCAGCTATTCATGGGCCCAATCCTAAACTGCTAAGAAAATTACAATAAAACAGAGGCCCACAACAGTACCTAGCCTCTACGGGTCTGGGGGCGCTGCCCCCCCGGACCCCCGCCCGCTCACCTGGGAGCGGAACCCTAGTTGCCTTTCTGCTGACCCCGATAATTAGGGCCCTCATCAGAATGCGAAGTATGAGTCATACCCAACAGTTTGTGGATCCAAGCTTGCCATGGATTAAAATTACCTAAGAAAACAAAGGTTAACTAATCACACCCATATCATTATGATTTTAAAATTATAAAAGCACCCATTAAAATTTCATACAACAACACGATTCTAAAGGTCCTCCCATACATTATGGACAAATAAAACTCACCTGTGAAGGGAAACCATGGATTAATATCACTGAAGGATTATCAGCACTTCCGCTTTCAACACAAAACCATCTATCGTATAAAATCATATTGACAAAATATGATTCAATTAGTAACCCAGAAAATAATATCATCTCTCATTTCTACTTGCAATTAAGTCCTACAAATTCAGATTACCAAAAAAAAAAAGTCCTACAAATTCAAATATGTCTTTTAGCATTATTTATTTAAGTATTTTTGCATATTCATGTAAAGTTTAATTCCAACTGAGATATCAGCAGCCAATTTTCCTACTTTTAATTCTTAAATTCTCCTGTGTTCTTCAAAATGAAGATAGAAAATTATTGGACATGTTAAAGATAAATCTAGTTTACCTGAAACGATCACCTGTAGCTTGAGAACTAGCACCCATAGGGAGCCCAAAAATTGGATCTTTTGCCTTTTCACCAGTGCCAGGAATTGAATAAGCTCTAATCTGATAATATCAGAAAAATGATAGATAAAACATATATATGGCTTGAAAGTTACAACATTGCAACCAGAAGGAAATGAAGTTGAAATAATGAAAGGAATTACTTTCTCCATACCGTGTTATTGTTGTTGGAAATAATCAACTATGAGTTGTAAAGAAGTACCACATAGACTAGACATAGACCAAGTGATGACCATATAAGTGCAAAAGACCCATAAACCTAGAGCCTTAAGGTTTTGGGTTAAGATGTGGTGTTGGCCCACTTATTGTGATTTGTCATTTGGCCCATTGGTGGATGTACCATTTGCAAAGGGTTTTGGGCTCCATCGGGAAGACCTCTGCAGAGGGCTAGTGTGACCCTAATATTTAAAAGAGAAAAAAAAAAAAAGACTTCCGCAGAAGTTTCCCTTAGAGTAAGAATGAAATTGGGCCTCATACTTGAGAAAGGATGTTGGAAATAATCAAGTATGAGTTGTAAAAAAGTACCACATAGACTAGACATAGACCAAGTGATGACCATATAAGTGCAAAAGACCCATAAACCTAGAGCCTTAAGGTTTTGGGTTGAGATGTGGTGTCGGCCCACTTATTGTGATTTGTCATTTGGCCCATTAGTAGATGTACCCTTTGCAAAGGGTTTTCTGCTCCCTCGTTCCATTCTATCAATTGTAACTTCACAATCAATCTGGTAATGTTTTAACAAAATGTATTTTCTTAAGTGATCAACAGTATACTTCAATACTTTTTATTATCATCATTCAAAGGTACAAGCATTGTCACTTAGTTTCTCCAAAGATTTGTGTCAATCCAGTCCCTTAATAATGCAAAAAGTCATCTTCCAAAGATTTTTGACATAAATTTATTCTCTCAAAGTGTCATCAATTATTTTTGCAAGGGTAAAACTGTTCTTTTGTGACTGAAAGGTCATGGGTTTGAATCCGGGAACAGTCTCTTCGCAATTATTTTTGCAAGGTAAGACTGCGTACAAAGATTGTCCTCACTCCACATTCACTAGTCGAGTTTAATTGGAGAGTGGTTTTTAATGCAAAGTGTCATCAATTTAGTCCCACAAGAATGCAAAATGTCATCGAATTAACCCCTAAATTAGGTTCCATAACACTCACTTCTCTCTGTCCAACAAAGAATGACCAATTTGATGACACTATAAATAATTGAAGGATTAAATTGATGACAAAAAATTTTCGAAGGCTAAGGTGACAAAGCCTCTATCTTTGAGGGGCGAAAGTAGCAGTTTACTCTAATATAAAAGGCTTAGCAGAAAGAAATGGATATTATATTACTCGTAAAAACCCTTTTAACAGCAACTATACATAAAGAAAAATGAAAAGAAAAAAATTGAGAAATGGATGAAAAATAATCATTAATTACCATTTTCCCTTGCTTAAACCATTCATCACTTGGACTGGGCCCGTCTGAATATTTTCCTGTCAGAAAACACCACAAGAATAGTCCAATAAATTTCTCAGAATCACAGAAAAAACACATGTATGTGAGCTTGTTTCCAACACATCCGTGATCCGTCCATTTTTTGAAAAAGTACCTCCACTGAATGAGAACCCATCTCCAACAGAAACTGGAGCATCCAGAAGATAATCCTGCACTAGAACTAACCAATGGTTGGCAACAAAACTTCAAGACACAAAGCTGAGAAAACCCATTTAACAAAAAAAAAAAAAGGGAAAATGGATCTCATTGTTACATAATCAGGTAAGAAAAGAATCTAGGTTTATAGTTTTTTTTCGAAAATTCATTAATTACTCGACTAATCCAATTGGGCCGAAGAAGACCACAAAGACAGCAAAGTTCTCTTTACCAAATTTTTAAACAAGAATTCGAACTCGAGATTACTGGTTAAGTTAAAACAACAACTATCACTTAAAATGATTATTTCCTCCTTCTTACTTTGTCATTAAAATTTGTGACATAAATGAATTACTAAGATATGGTCATGTTAAAATGAGAGGAGAGGAACATACTTTTTCGTCATTGTTGCCATTTGAATTGCAGTTCAGCTTGAGAGACTTTCTTGAAGGGCATGGACCCAATGATTGGAACCTTGTGGCAAGGATTGATGGAGATACAGTTGTGGAAGAAGAGAAAAGGTAGGAATGTAAAGAAGAAGAGGCTTGAATTGCTTGAATGGCCATGGCATGTAGTAGCAGTTAGAAGCACTCACTTACTACTGGTTGTTGGTTGGTTGGAAATTAAAGTGGGAAAAAAAAGTACCTTAACAGAAAGACCGTTAGTACCTTCAATGCCAACATAAAAATGAAACATGTTTTTGTCCATTTGGGAAGGGATAGGGATTGTCTGGTTATAGTTTTACCAACTCAGTTTTTTTCAAATGGTTAGA